TGAGGGGTACGCATGTTAGAATATTAGGGCGAAGATTCTGAGGCTATTTACTTTTGTAGAGGGCATCTTAAGTATGGATTCAACAAGTGATGTCTTCCACTGCTTCCACAACTATGCTGGCTCAGGTCAAATGTTCATTTGAAACTTTGATGATAGATAAAGCGGTTATGGGTTGAAACTGAAAAAAGAAAATTTCAAGACCAAACGAGAGCACTTTTCATGCAGCCCGGTTTGTGATACATGGAATGGCTTCAACCACGAAGTCGTCAGTGCTACATCTAGCAATGCTTTAGAAAAAAAAAATTGGTGATATCTTGTTTTGAAACGTTTCTTCAGACTTGCTTGTATTTTCTTCATCGATTCACCAGTTTTCATACCAATTTATTTGTAGTCGATTAGGATTTCATAGGACCCTGTCCTCAGCCTTTAAGTTTCTTTAATAATAGTAATAATACAAATATCACCCACAGTAACTTTCATAAATAGAAGAAATAAAACTGTAGTGTGACAGACCGAAACAAACCGAATATCTGTTTAAAATCTGTTTTTCCGTTAACCAGCTGTCGCACCCCTACGAACGACAACCCTCAGAAGTTGAAACTTGTGCGAGCTAAGGATTAACGAGGTCTTACTTTTTAACGTGTGATTTCTAACACGGGTTGGACGATAGCAAGTGAATATCGATCGTTCAGACTAGGGCTTGAACCATCGACCAACACGGCCGTCAATTCGAGTGAGTGAACAAAGCACACACGCCGAACCGCTTGGCTACCGACCGACCATATTACATTACGACCGATATTACATAAATACTCAAACAACAGAAAACCACCTACCTCATAGACATAGCTATTCCAGCAGACGCAAACGTAAAATAAAAATAACAGAAAAAAGTGGAAAAATACACACACCTAGCCATAGAGACGAAAGATATATGGAGATAGGAACGAGTAGCAATAATAGAAATCATCTTGCCACCCACAGAAATTACACCGCAATCGTTTACTATCAACCTACAAAAATAAACATCCATCCATCTATAAATACGAGTACACACATACAAAAAGGAGTAATAATCAAAACCTGTAACATGATCCGTGAATTATTAGAATTAGAAAACAATAAACCTTTCCTCCACTCAGATTTTGCCCGTGCAGGAAGCAAATACCAGTGAGGACAACTCCCTGTTAATAATAATAATTCATTAACTTTCTCCTTCTCTTCTCTGGAGGTTTTCTGTTGTATAGCCTAAACGAAGTCAATCCGAACAGCCAAATAAAGGACTATTATACGGGTCTGAAAAATTTACTAGTTAATACCATATAAAACCTCCCACACAAAAATAATGATAAGATAACAAAATTATACTTACCACGCCACCCATGCCTTGCAAAGAAACTGCCGATGTTCGGTAACTATTTAGTTTTTATGTCATTCGAATTAACTGCGTATAATACTATAATATACAGTGTGTAAAAGTCAAAGGGAATGAATTCATTATTTCGGTTACAGTACAAATTTTTTTAAAATCCCGAGACACATCATATTTAAATTATAATTTGAAATACTTAAAGAGAAAAATGATACCCCTACCTTCAACCCCTGTCGATTGACAGGTACAACCTCCAAATTTTTAAATGAGAAGTATAGGCTTGTTATATATCGTTCGAAATGTCTCTTCATTCTCTATTCAAAAATGTTATCGCTTTCAAATTTTTTACAACAATCAAGATAAAATAAATTGAAATCATGTGGTTACTGGAATTCGATAAAATACACTCAAAACTTATTGCAATATACTCAAAACTCATTTCATTCAGATGTATTGATAATAAGAAAGTAAGCAAACACCTTAGCAATGTTCTTTTTATATGACATCTTTCAAAAAAAACGTAAATAATTTCTGTGGCAACGTTAGTTCAAAACGCCTTGTAAACTTGTTTTGTAGGTTACAACATTAGTTGTCAGTATTTTGATTCAAGTTTGAAGTTCGTTAATTTCAAGTCTGACAAATGGTTAGATTAACGGAAATGGGGAAAATAACAGTTTTACAAATGATTGGTTTCAGAAATAAAACCCGAACACAACAGGAAGTAGCTCGCCTATTTCATGAAAAATTTCCTAATTAACCAACCATGTCTCAAGGAACAATAAGCAAAATAGAGAATCAGTTTAGTTAGCTTGGTCATGTGGGGCAGATAAAAAAGCAGCTGCCAATGCAATGAGTGGTGAACTCAAATTAGATGTGATGCTCGAGTTTGAGGAAAACCCACATACATCGAGTAGACAGGCATCTACTACATTCAATGTTAGCCATACATCGATAGTAAACATATTAAAAGAAAATAAAATGCATCCCTATAATATGATACCTATCAGGAGCTCATAAAAGACGATTTTGATAGAAGAACTTATTTTTGTGAGCAAATGATGGACATGTTGGATAACATATTATTTTTCGGGTAGGAAAAGGCCTTACTGTGATTGAATACCTAACCAATATTTCTAAACATCCACTATTTGAAGGGGAAAATAGTCATCTAAGATGAACATATATTAGGAGTATACTAGCTATTCTTCATTTGCTTTTCAATTCGCTACTCAAGATTAGTAGCTGACGCTTTTTAAAAAGATAAGTTTTAATAGTTGTGAACCTTCGCGAGTTGTAGATGAGGGCCGGGAATTCCCACTCACTTTGAACCTTCCTACCTATTTGAATTATTTAGACCTTATTTCTTTATCATAGAAAGAGCCCTGATGAGTTTGATTAAATTATCTCGGGAAAATGTTTCACCATGAACGCTTTGTTTACATTCTTCCTATAAACTTGCCGTTGACAAAATTTTGAACCATCCATATTTCCTCCTCCTTTGTGATCGAGTTGCAAACGACCCAATGAGCTCCTCTCTGCAATTTCCTAAAAGCCGAACCGTAACAATATCTTCTGGTAGTTCAATCAAGTATACGTTTTTCACAACGTACACTCCCGACGTCTTGACGAGATAAAAACCACCCCAAAGTCTTTTGTCGAAGAACTCGAGTCAACAACAAGGACCTCATTACGTCCTCGAGTCTGCGATGATACCGTCTAAGATTTAATTTTCAAAAGGCGTTATTTATAGATTCATCAAGAGGTTTCGACGCTGAAAGCGTAGTTTTGGGCCTGGTGTGCCTTTGAGTCGTTTCAGGATTGTTTGAAAGCCAACTTGACGTTAATTAATTGTAGTGGCAGGGGGGGACATTGGCGATGCCTCCACCGGGAGTTCCGGAAAACAATTAATTTTCTTCGAACTCCGTTATAACTTCACGTGTTTCGAGAAATTGAGTGGAGATTTCCAATGATGAAATTCCGACGGGCGATCCTCTTTCAATCATTACGTCGGACTCGGCCTAGTTGAAATATTACCCCCTGTCTTTTGTGGTGTCGAACATTTGTTATCTGTCAATCATGCATCTTCTGACCCGAATAGTAACTAGTAGTAATCGATACACCATTAGGTTAACTTAGAGGAGTTCACGAAAACAAATTGATCGAGAAAATCATTTCTTTCGACAGGGCTATTGTTAGGATTCATCTCATAATTCCGCAAGTATCATTATTTTACCGTGTCCCCCATTTTCAACCCATCAATCCTTCTGGTTTGTCTTGTCGTAAAAATGATTAGTTAGATTGCGCTGTTCATTAAGAGCAATCTGACGATATCACAATACACCACAATTCTACAGAAAAATAATAATACAATAAGTTAATTCGAAGATTATTTGAGAAAGGAATTCAAATCTTGTTGAAAGTCTATAATGATCCAAAATCTGTGGACACTATCGATCATCTTCGTTGTACACAATACGTCAAGTCTACAAAACTGATAAACCTGTGCAGTTATCTAAAATTCCACCAACAAGTGCAGCAGCTCACCAACATTCCAATCGTATTTATTATCAAGTTCAAACTTAGTTAGGGCATGATTCGAAACGCCAGGAATGGGGTTGGACAATGCGTAATGAATTCCTAGAACCTATCAACACAATTTTAGCATCTGCTCCAGAGGAATTGCTCAACACAATATTCTGCAACTGCAACAGTAGTTGTGGTTCGCGATGTGGATGCAGGAAATCGGAGTCGCACTGCTCGTTAGCTTGTGGCCAGTGTAATGGACAAGCTTGTCTCAATGCTTCACCATATCAGAGCGATATCAATGAAGACTGAGCCTTTGACCTCGAAATTATGGGAGACAAATGTCGTTGAAGACGATAAAGAAGAGGACTTTGAAATACTACAGCGGTCGGAAGACGACGATGAAGAAGAAGATGACTGAAATTATAAGTTGTAGTTCTTGTAATTTTTATTACATTCACAGTCATAATAAATATTTGAATGATTTAAGTTTCCCTCTTTGGTGAAACATTTCAGAAGATTTTCAATAGATTTCCTGAAATATTTTACATCCAGTAAAAATGGAAATTATTCATCACCATTGACTTTTTAGTGGCTAACTAACTTTATTCGACGTATTATATTTACCGAGACTCTTGGATAACTTTCAATTATGCTATGTTTATCTAAGCGCTGCGCGTCTTATCTAGAAAACAAAATTAATTTTTATAAAACATTTGTGATAAACTAATTTTTGTAATCTTTAAACTTGGCTATTTCAAGACACAGAAAATGATGATAGAATTTTACAGTTTATCTTTAAATATGCCTGAACTACAATGAACTACAAGCACAATCAACAAACCAAAGCAAGTGAAAATACATTATTTTTAAATGACACTTATTATTGTGTCACGCTCATCTGACAATTCTTGTTCCTCTGAGGATCTGTAATTGTTGAATTGGTATTCTCATTAAAAAAACTACTTTCACTGTTCTTTCATTCTTTTGGAGAACGTTCTACATGTTTGACCAATATTTAGTTTAAAAAATCGAGTGATTTGGACCTAACCTAACCGTAGCTGACAGTAAAGCATTTACAATTCAATCACAAATGAATACTAACCTCCCTCTCGTTGTTTCCATAACTGATTCCGAGATTTGGCATGGACCGAAGGATGGCCACCAAGGACTGTATTGTATTGCTGTAGACCACCGGTCGATACTGCTTGTGGTCTTCGGGCGTAAATCCACTTTCGTGGATAATTCTGCAAAAGAAAACAAACATGAAAGAATATATCATGATAAGTGACGGAATATAAAAGCACTCTCGAAATTAATGCTGATGTCCATGATCATAATACTAGGAGCCGCCTACTCATTAGACCGAACAGATTCAGGTTGGACAAATCAAGAAAAAATGTTATAAACGTTGACTGTTATAATATCTTGCCTCCTCAAGTTAAAGCTTTCGATTATAATACTTTCAAAAAATATCTAAAGAATCATCGTATCTAAAACACATTCTATTCTATGGATGAATATATGGCTGCCCAACTCTAGATATAATGCCAATGATCTAGTTCTTGTATTAGCTTTTCTAATGATATTAACTTTGATGTATGTCTATATTTATATAGACATTTTATGATGTATTATATACTGTTCGCTTTGCATAGCCGTGACTTGTCTTATTTATACAATGTGTCTGTATGAGTTAATTGTACACCTAAAAGATAAATAAATTAATATACAATATACAATAACTGAACATAAAGGGTATTCACACAAGATGTTCGGTAATCGCCAACGTATCACAAAGGAAAATATCTAAAAATGAAATTACATAGGAAATGAATCCTAAATACTCGTATGTATTGAATCTCCTAACTGGCAGAAGTCTTTATTATGGACCAGCAGCACTTAGGACACATATGACCCATTGTACATCCTCCCAAGGAGTTGTCCTCCTAGGTCATCGTCCATCTTGTCCTTTCCAGGAAGGTGGACAGGTCTCTCGGAGATATCCCCTTTATATCGGCAAGTGTAGGCCAAGACTCGCCGAACACACACTCTCTTATTGATGATAACTCCGGACATTCGCATAGGACATGTCTAACAGTTTCATCTTCCTGTTCACACATCCTGCATAGAGGTGTGTCCAGTAGCCCCATATTGTGGAGGTGTTTTCTTAGTTGACAGGTCATCGCCAGATATTTCTTCGGCGCCAGCTTCCCAGGGTCGCCACGGGTGATCCTGGCAATATTGCATCGCATATCTCTAGGGATTGAGCATGGGTGTGACATTTGGCTAGTTCCGCAATTGTCGAAGTCATCATACCGAAGGTGTCACTGGGTCCTAAAGTTCTTAGTCCAGCCGCTTCCTTGTTTAAAGATTCACGACTCCTGTCGTGGCCTTTAATCCACCTCAGGATAATGTCATTATCTACCGAAGCTTTGGCTAAATCTTGGTGGCACTCTAGTACTAGCCCTGAGGTAACACGCTGTCTGTTCAAGGCTAATAGTGCTTGTCTGCTATCAGTGCAGATTGTTATGTTTTTGCCGGAAATTCTTTTCCTGGTTATTTCTTTTGTAGCGATTGAGATACTAGCCAATTCTGTTTGAACCACGCTGGTATTTTTTCCATTCCCCACTTAATCCTTAGGCTTAGTGATCTGGAGTACACTCCATATCCTGAGCCTTCTTTGGTTTTCGAGCCGTCTGTATATATGCGTATTGTATTTGTAGCGTCTGACTCTGTGTTCTGTTTTATTTGTATTTGTATTAAACACAAACCTGGGTTCAATTGTATAGACCAGTTTTAATTAAAGTATCTATCATCCATGCTCGTTCTATCAATCATTAGACCACCTGCATTCTTTAAAAAATATTTCTCAGCTTTCTTTAGTAATGCACCTACAACTCGTTTTCTGCCAAAAATTTTGGAAGTCATACTTTTTTTGGCACATGAGAGAAAAATGATGAGAGTAAATTTTTAAGATATGCGCGCACACCGTCACGAAAGACTGACACCCTGAAGTTAGCTTATTCTTCTATAATTAACATGGCCGTTGATTTTCAGTCGAGTGCATTTGGCCAGATTCCTCTTGTTCATAGTGAATAGAAGCGTCGTCCGGGGGCGCAGCTGTCTTGCTCGAAGCAATGCTGCCATCCTCAAGTTTTCTCATTCTCTTTCATAAAAAAACTTCATTAGTTTACTAGGGAGCCAATATGACATTCTCAAATAACACATCTAAGATAGAAAATTGTATTTAACATTCTCCAATTTTATGAGTTGTTTCTAGAAAGATGAATAGTTTAGGTTATGAATTTAACATGTACAAATTTGTCATGATTCAAATCAATATGAAAGCATGACACAGAATTTGTTTAAACAGTATTATGACTCCCGAAGATGTTAGGATATAGCGAAACACGCGTCGCGGTTTTGTAATCTTTTAAATGGAAATGTTACACTGAGGTGTTTTTTGAAAACAAAGCTAGGCTCTACAACTGACGGCCTTGGGGGGCGTCGTTCATCTTTGATATTCAAGGAGTGAGTTCTCTGTTGATCCCATTAGATTAGATTGTCGGGGAGCTAGCCCATGACCTGATTCACTGCGACCTTTTCAGATCTATTGTGATGCTCCTTGAATGTTAGAGCTCATTGTCTAGCTTGATGTCTTTGATGAGATTCCATAACCTTGACACTAACCCCTTCATATAGTTGGCAGCTTCTGGTTTCTCTTCCCCACATCTTGCGTGTCTCAGCCTTGCTATCGCTTCGTATTCATAGAGCACATGCTGTGTGGTTTCTTCCTCGTCTTGACAGAACCTGCATTGGGTTTCTTCTGTCAGACTGATGTTGCTCATATGTTTCCTGAGTCGTTAGTAGACCCCCCATTACCCTTACAACCTTACGGTTCTGGTTTAGTAGGTCTTCCGTTAATCTGGGCGATGGTTTTTTATGAACTCTTTCGCCTGTCCCATTCCTGGGAGCTCATTCCACCAATCTATCGATTCGGCTTGCATCCATGAATTTATGGATGTCTTTATACATGCTTTCGCTACCCCGCAGGAGGGTTCTGGGTCGATCATAGCCTTGGATGCGCTTTTATGGGCTAGAACATCGCTCTCCTCATTGCCCTTGTGACCCTCATGTCCGAGTACTCAAGCTAGATTGACCCTATTTTGGGTACTTAGCTCCTTGAGTGCCCCCAGACAGCTTCCTACCAGTCTTGAGAAGACTTGAAATGGCCTGAGCGTTTTAACTGCCTCCTGGCTGTCGGAGAAAATGGCAATGGTTTTAGTTGCGACCTTTTGTTTGTTTATTTCCCCTGTACAGTGTTCGATGGCCGCTACTTCTGCCTGGAACAAAGTTGTATTATGTCCGAGCAGAGTTGGGTAGTATCCGAATACTTCTGTATTCGGACACAATATCCTATTCAATAAAACACTATTTTAACTAACTCTAAAAGTATCCGTAAAAGTATCCGAAAAAAGTATCCCAATACTTGTATCCGAGTACATCACCACAAATGTGCTGAGTCATACGCTTTTTCCAACATGTCACGTTCCACAATCTTATGTTGAAAAAAAAATTGTTGGTCGAGTGGGTTATCATCTGAATAACAGGGAGATTCAATGTCATTGTGCACTTCTAATATTATAGGATACAACTTTTAAATAGTATCAATTTCTATAACCTTTTCATTGTTAACTGAGAATTCAAAGAAAATATGAAAACCAACTCAAAAACAAAATATTTTCAGCGTTATACTGTGAATAAAGTGGAGCATAATATGTAAAGGATAGGAAAAAGTATCGTATTATTAATTTTCCGAAGATAACTTTTGTTTGCTGATATTGTCCCCTATTGTCTATCAGTAAGACGAATAGCACTACTGAATAATTCAGGCCGTCAGAAGTAGTGGAATGGAAAAACTTTAAATTGACTTTTAGACATTTTTTGTATGTTATTTCCCTGGTCGATTTAGTGAGATTAAGTAAGTTTTTCAGGAAGGCGGAGGAGATGAAAATGGAGCGGAAAAACAAAAAAATAAAATCGTAATTAACTTCGCAAGTCTTCCTCTCTTGACTTTCGTGCTCATTCAATATAGTTAACAAGATTCTCCAGATCGTCTGCTTGAATATATTTTTCTTAATAATCGATCCAGTAATATAACGTGTGCCAAGTGGAAAACTAACAGAAATATGTGTATTTTAGAACTTCCGTTCTTAATCATCTCAATATATGACCAGCAGTTCCCTCACACCCCCATACGACTGAGAGGGATGATATTTCAACTGGCTAACCTAATAACCATTGAAGGTTATCCGGATATACATCCAGTGGGGACCAATGACTAATGGACCTATACCACTGGATGTATACACCCAATCTCCTTCTAAAGTTTGGTTCAGCAGCATTTCAGGAATGACACGCCTGAGACGCACATGTCACCTCAGTTCACAAAAGCTTTAGCATTTGCTATCGGATCGAGGAACCTTGCCCTCAGTTGCGGTGAATGGACCTTCTCCATTTTGTGTATTTTAGCCTCAAACCCCAAAGAACTGAGAGGAATGATATTTGAACTGGCTAACCCAAAAACCATTGAAGGATATCCGGATATACATCCAGTGGGGTCCAATGGACAGAAATATCATAGCAATGGAGTAATCTGTAGGAAACAATCTTGATGGGTCAAATCTAGAGGTCTAAAGCCACTTCAATTAAACGGTTGTTGTATCTGTGAAAGTGCTGTGATTTGTTATATCAACTGAATCACAAATAAAAGATCAATCGCTGTATGTTTAAAATATGTTTTTTCAGTTAACCAGCTATCGCAAGCTAAGAGCTAACGAGGTCTTACCACTTAACGTTCGATTCCTAACACGGTAGTTGAATAAACTACTTATAACTTAATTCATATGAGTTCTATTCTACACATATGATTAGGGATACTGATTATATTATTTCCTGACAAGTTTTGCTCGCTGGCCGCTCATTAAAAAAATCTGATACGAAATATCACGCCTTCATATAGAAATGTTACAGCTGATCGATTTCAATGTTATTCCAATGAATCACATAGATCAAAGTTGTGCTATTCACTCAAATCTTAGTTCAGGAAATGTTCCATTGTACTTGAAAAGCAAATATTTCAGAAATCTATGCTGGATATATTCAACAATTTTTAATGTAATCCGGTAAAACCGCGATAAAATCAAGCTTGCAAGTTTGTAGCTGTTGCGAGCATTAACAAACC